GGGCTTTGATGTCGCCATACTTGGGTTGGCACTGCGGTGTAATATGGGTGATCTGGTTTCCTGGGCTTTAGGCTCAGGGTTCGAGTGGATTCAACCGATCTGAAATCACAAATAAACCCAAACCCCGAATGATAGAGACTGGACCACGAACACCCTGAAGCTTTGCCCTTGGGCTGGCGCTTTCGTGGCTTTGTTGGGCTCAGGGTCTGCTTGAGGGTTTCAGGGCTCCGGGTTTGGAGTGAAAACAGCACAGCTAGCTACATGCTATTTAATGAATTGCATACAGTGGGGGCATCCTGACAGTTGGGGGGCCATTCAGTACTAGCCTCAGGATTTTGCAGCAGCTCGGATCACTTCGGTTCGGCCAGGCAAAGACTATCGATCCCCCAGGTTTCTGGAAGTAGCCTATGGGTTTAGGGGCTTAATGAGTTTATATTGTTATTGGGTCAGGGATCACACTTCGGGCAATGTCGGCTTCTGCGACTTCTGGCCCATCTCACCTACGAAGTCGTTTGGCCCGATGCTTGCTCTTGAACTGAGTTGGTCTCCAGATACGGTTGGATTTCAGGGCCACGTAATCGTGCTGTGTCCTTAGGGTGTTTTCGGGGAGTACGAGCAAGAGCAAATTAATATCCTATGTCCTATGACTTCGAACGGAAGGAAACGTGTAGCTTCTGGCAGCCAGGGCACGACATATACCATTTCGTAAGCCACGATTGCTCCAGGCAGTCCGGCTGGCACTGTCTCGCAATGCCTGGGGTGGGTTGCTTTCGTTTTGTTTTAGGCTTGGGGCTTGGGGGTTTTAGTATTAAAAGATATGATTAAAAATAGATGACAACAGTCAGTCTAAGAATCGCTTTGCGAACTGCATTGCCGCCTCGTCTCGATACGTGTGGTAGTAGCGAACGTTGTACAACTCGATTGTCATGAATACGGCTAAATGATGATATATATGGTGCTTGGGGCGAAGCATCCATGCCATCCTGGCTGTGCGACTGTTTTGGGCCGAGAATTAGGTAGGCTTATATTGGAGGTGTGTAGTCACAATAGTTTCAATTTTACAAAGTGTTCTATTTCAGTTGGGTTTCTCCCCGTTGGCCGCTGCTTCCTTGGCCAGCTGTAGAAAGGAATTCAAGTGAATCAGTGCCCAGTCATAGAGGCCATCGGCTTCCTGGAGACATGATTATAAGTTAAGTGTGCAAAATATTTACTTTCATTCTATGGTTCTGTAATTACAGAACCATAGAATGAAAGTAAATATTTTGCACACTATAATACCATCGCCGGATCCCGTTAATTTATTTGTTGCTCAACCGTCGGTCTATTACTTAAGGCAAGAGTCCGGTTGGGTCAAGTACCGGCCATACTCTTCGAGCTCGCAGTGCCAAGCGTGCAAGGCATGCACACAGGTGTAGGTGAGAAAGATTCGCTCCGTCGGGTGCCTTTCGTAGGCCTGCCTGCACTCATCTGCCAGCCAGCTTGTAATCGCTCGGGAGTTGTAGGCCTCAGATCGCAGCATCATGAGCAGAAGGATCGGTATTAGCATCATGGGAACCCCAACACTTGGAAAGGAAACATATTAAAGGAACATAGCACGAATTCGTGCCAGGGTTCTTTGCTTCCAAAATAACAATACTCCTCTCCAGAAGTCACGTACATATAGCTTTTGAAGGGCGGCTGCGAACACTGGATTTTGTGTTTCCGGATAAATTCCTTGAAGCGAAGGAAAGCGTCTCTCAACTTCTCGGCCTTGTCCTCTCCCCGGAACCACCCAACCTTGAACAGCTCGTGAAGGCAGCCGCCATGACAAAACTGGGCGATCCCCAGTTGTACCGTGTGGACGGAGCAAAAGCGAAGGAAATGATAATGAAATTAGAGTGAATTGATCGGTTCATTCAGTTGTTCTGCTAGAAACTGAACATGGGTCCTAATTGTCGATGCGCATCGTGGCTGCTTCGCAAAGTCGGTGTACGGATACTGCGGGTTTGTCTTGGATGCTCTGCAGCAATGACAAATGTCATTGCAGGACCAATGGTTTACCAGCTTGAAGCTGTGGGCGTGGTGTTTCCAATCCCCTCGAAGTTCAACCAATCGGAATTTGTAACCATTGTACATTGCATCGTGTGGCATTATGTTGGGGCCCAGGCTTGGCAAATCATCACCGATCAGGCTCTTTGCGGGGAAAGTTCCCACATACATTGTATTGATACTCCAGGTTAGAAAATCAAACACGGGCCCGATCGTATCGTAGCCAAAAAGTCTCTCAGATCTGATGGCGAACACCGGAAACCGACTCCCAAACACAGTTGTTGAGCCCTCGTACACAGGGAAACCTGTCGTTGGAATATTAGGGTAGCACAACCTCAGATAACTATATTTAGTTCATTCTACAGCACCGAATTCGCCCCAAAACAATATTAAGGTGTATTGCAAAGTTGCTCATGTACAGAACGAGGATCTTCTCCTTCGTTATGCAATACTCGGCCTCGTCCCCGTAAAGGGCCAGCGGTACAAAGTTCGTGGGATCCCACCCTTGCATCCAAGGGACCCCTCGCGACTGGAAGTGCTGCCAGAAGCGGTCACAGGCAGCTTGGTCAATCGATATTCGTTTGTTCCGAAGCAAGTAATGTGCCAGCAAGTGAGGAGGGATGACCGGAAAGCCCATTTCTACAGTCTCCGTGTTCTGATTCTTGGGGTCGGGTCTGGCTCGCACTGTCAGTTTGATGCTGTCCACCGGAAGAGCCTGACAAAGGACTGGGTTTTGGGATTGAGCTCGGTTGCTTCACTTCTGCTAAAGTAAAAGCCAGAAAGTTGGAATATGGTTTCAGGGTAGGAGACCTTATACTTTACCATAAAGGGCTTAGGATAATCATATTCCAACTTTCTGGCTTTTACTTTATGCTTTTATCAAACCCACCTAAACCCAACAACCCTATTCGAATTCTCCCCACCTGAAAGTGTAAAAGCCTTCGGACATAGAAAGCAAACTAGAAACAGAAGAGAAACAGAGGCTCCGGATCCTATGTTCTTCGAAGTTGTGCCGCACTGGTTACGAACATCTCTACAAATGTTATTTTGGAAAGTACCCCTCGCTCCACAGGCCGCGAGGTTCTCGACAGATGCCGGCGTCGACGAACCAAGCTCCTATGGCAATGGCCGGGGTTGTTACTTAGGGTTGTTTAGGCTTCGTGTCCGGGGCTGTAATGTAATTTTTCTGTTGAGGGCATTTCGATTCGACAGTGCTAGGATCTGTCTTTGGTGAGTGGCTTTGGGATTGAGGTCGGTTGCTCTACTTCTGCTCTGGTTAAGTATAAATAAACAAAACCCTAAACCCATCTAAACCCAACAACCCTAATCTCCCTACCTCAAATCTGATCCAAGCACAGTAGGCCTAAACCCGAGAACCCCAAACCCCCAAACTGAAACACTGGGGCCGAAAGTGGGTTCAGCTTGGGATGTTCGCTCCACTCCGTAAGGAACCAAACTGGAAGGTGAGCTATCAGTAGTCCCCAGGGAAATATGCAATTCATCCAAATCAATCATCGACTATTACACACTCATCAGATTTGTGGCGAATTGCACTGCAATCCAAGCCCGGCATCATATCTTGACATCATCACATCGAAGCCGGCGGTATTCTGCGAACACAAGAAACCTTGCAAACTTCGAAGAGTCGAAACCGTGTGTTCCAACACAACCTGAAGTATATCATTATTATAATAGCATCCGAGGATCTATCGCCACACAGTCCGCCAGTTTTTGTGCAGACGATGCACTCCATTCCTGGTGTTTGGGTGGTGCTATAATGGGCTATTTTCGTTGATCACGAGTTTCCCGACTTTGGGGCGAATGGTTTATTCTGATAAGGAAGCAGGCTTGAGAATCGATTTGTTGGTTTCAGGGCAGTTGGGGTCTTGAGTCCTGAGTTTGGGGTTTTGGGTTCCGGGTATTTCGCGCTTTGAAGCAATCAAGCTTTCGGGCGATGGAGGTTAGGGTTTGAGGGTCAGGTTTTACAAGGGTAGGGGCTGTGATTATATTCGGGCTTAAATTTCACTGTTTGGGCAGGCTCCGTCAGTTCTGGCACTTGAGCAACAGAGACTGAAGAGATTTCTAAACTAGTAACTATTATGGTCTTTTGGAATAATGTGCAAACAAGTCTCGCCTGCCCCAACTCCAGCCAGCAACCGCTGCCGAATCATACCAGGGACACCTGCGTGGGAAGCACATGTTGCAAGAGAGTTCTGAACACGAGGCTTGGGCCCAACACACCGGGGAACTACAGCTTCAGTATTTTTGGTCGTGTGATGATGCGATGCTCGGTGATGTCTGCTTAGCCAAGGAACGAAGCTAAAATGCTCCGAATGCGTAGCAAAACTGCACACCCGGCACACTGCTCACGATGCTCTAGCCCACCTGCTTCCCCAGCTACTTGAAATTATGGTTTTATTTTAGGAGGAGCTTTTATGCAGGCAGGTTCTAAAGAGCTTCCACAGTCAGAGGCGTGATCACCCACCCCATCGGAGCTCAGATTGAAAATTGCTGCAGCCTAGCCAGAGGGCTCTGCAGCGGCTTTGGCCTTGCCTTTGGCTTTGGCCTTGCCTTTGCTGGCTGGGGGGCGGAGGGCACGTTTTGCCGCCTTCATCTTCTCATCATATTCAGCAAAGCATTCAAAGTCGCGATCTGGTTCGTCTCAGCGTTCTGCGTGACCGCCTCCTGAAGGGATGCATGGTGATCCTTCATCGACTGAATGTCTTTCTGCATGTCGGCCATCATGGCTTTGGCGAACGACTCTCCCCTGAGGAAGGATGTAGGGCTTGAGGATACAAGCTGGGGGGGTTTAGGGCGATAAACAAGGGCACCCACCACACACATGTGTACATTACATTACCCAAGGCAGCAAAACCTTAAGCCTTTCAAGCTCAAACCTCAGCCCCAAACCTTATGAACTCTAGCCGGTAAAAAGAACCATATATACCCTAAAACCCTCACCGTTGACCCTCCTAGAACTTATCGATTCTGCACAATCCAAGGTGCATGCCACCCCTGTGGAGCATGCTCTCCATCCCATCTGCCTCGATGAACCGCTGCGGGCCCTTCTTAAGAAGATCCATCGCCTCTTGGCTTGCCTCTTTAGCCTTGGGAACCCTCCTCTCACGATTAGGAGGCGGAGGAGGGGGCCCATCTCCCGGAGGGTCATTGCTGCCACGGGCATCACTTCCGCGATCGAGAAGATGGGACCTTGATATATATGCAGTTCTTAATTGGAGGGTCGAGGGACTTAGTAAGTAGGTAGTAGGTAGACATATAAATTATACGTACCAGAAAATTTTTAAAGGGACCCTAATTGGGGTTATGGCACTTATAAGTCCCCCGACCCTCCAAGTAAGTTCGGAGAATAGGAACCTCCTGCTAGTCTTAAGAAAGCTTATTTAGCTAGACGAGTCACAAGATACCCGTAGTCCCCTGATGATCCATCTCAACATCGGCATTCAACCCGAACTCCATTTCGTCTTCGCTCTCGGTCAACTCCTCCCGAGAGTCAAAGCACTTGAAGAGCTCCCACTCCTGGCCAATGTGAAAGTGGACGATGCTGATCAATTGAGAAGTTAGGGCTTATGTCCATGTGCGGGGAGGTTTTAGTATACAGCTTATGGACCAAGGGACCTTTGATAATTGCATCAGCAAATTAGATTGATAAGTCCATGAGCACGTAATAAGCTACAACTCCTCCTAGCTCGAATCGGGCTTAAGCTTCCGGGACTGTTTGTGGACCCACCTTGTTCTTGGGCTGATCGGGGTGCACCTTCCACCAGATGCCTCGGCCCGTCTGATCCATTGCCTTCTTCGAGGCAACGATGTCCTCGGCGATCGCTTCGCCGTGCCTGCGTGGTTTCGGAGAGGCTTCTTAATTTCTATGGATTAAAGGTAGAAGTTCAGGGTTTAGGGTTTTGAGGTTTGGGCGGCCACGGTTGGAAGTTGAGGGTTCGGGGGTTTTAAGGTAATTTTGTTCATTGTTTAGGCATCAATTATATATATATATATATATATATATATATATATATATATGGATTTAGGTTTGATGCGGTTAAGCTTTAAGTGTAGGGTTGCGGGCTTTCGGATTATCTTCCGATACCCTACTACATAAATGGATGCTGCTGAAGTGCTCGCTCTTCAGGGTCTCGAACTTTTTCCACAAGTAACGTCCACGGCGTCGAGAGCCTTTCTTCTTACGGGCATTGACCACTAGCGAAGAGCTCAGCCAGTCGCCGTCACAAGTCAGAAACATCTCGTACATCTGCCTCATGATAGCCGGGCTTTTCTTCTTGCCTGCAGAGGTCAAGCACCGCTCGCGAACCTCCGGTGGGCAGCGGGATGATCCTGGGTTTGATGACAAGGGGTTTAGGGTAGTTTAGGGTTTTTGTTTTAGGTAGGAAGGTAAGAAGCTGAGTGGAAAAAACAGACAAGCAACTGATGGATCGGAAGTATCTCATGTAGCTGTTGTGGGCTTCCCTGACACGGCGATCCTCTTCCGTCTCGTTTTCACGGTTCTTCTTCGTCTTCGGCTTGGCGGGCGGGGCACTGTCCTCTGTGTCTGGCTCCTGCTTGACCTTCGGCTCCTGCTTAACCTGGGTCTGGTTCGGCGTCTCCGGACGGGTGCCTGGCTCCTTGGCGGTCTCCACATGGGTGCCTGCTGACTCCTTGGCGGTCTCACGGGTGCCTGCTGACTCCTTGGCGGTCTCCACATGGGTGCCTGACTCCTTTGGCGTCTCCACACGGGTGCCTGACTCCTTGGGTGTCTCCACACGGGTGCCTGACTCCTTGCTGACTCCTTGGGCGTCTCCACACGGGTGCCTGCTTGGGCGTCTCCATAGGGGTGCCTGCTGACTCCTTCGGCTTCTCCACGGATTTCTGCTCCTTTGGAGTCTCCACACCAGCACCTTCCACACGAGCTTCACCTGGCCCTGCACGATGACACCTGCCGGCGAGTTCTTGTTCTCGGTCTCCGTCATCGCTGCGGTCGCCTTCTCGATGTCCTCAGTGCTTCCCCTTCGGAGCAAGCACTGGAGCTCGCCGGATCGAGACTGCTGCACCTCAGCAGGCTTCTCCAAAAGAGTTTGAAGAAGCATCTGCAAGGCTTTCGCCCTTGATTCTGCCTCAGATGCTCTGTCATTGGCCTGCTCCATCATCTCCTGCTCCTCCAGAAGCTGCTCCAAGTGCTTCTCGAGGTCATCGGGGCCATCCGGTTTCCTCGCCGGCGCCTGGTGAACCGTCGCCTCCACCTTCGCATCTGCAGAGGTGGCTGCAACCTTCATCGTCACATCAGCACCAGATGCCTCTGCACTCACGGAAACTCCCATGGCTGTAGCACATGCCTTGGCACACACACTTGTCGGGGCAGATGACTCGGGGGCCACAGGCTTCTGCTCAGCGACCTTCATCATCTTAGGCTCGCTTTCCCTAGCCATGGCTTCGGGATCAGGCTCTTGCATGGTTGCTGGCACCTCAGCATCCGGTTTCTCTGGCTCGGCAGTCGCTTTCACACTGTCGATCGGCTCGGCAGTCGCTGTCACACTGCGGATCGGCTCGGCATTCGGTTTCTCTGGCTCGGCAGTCGGTTTCGCACTCTCGGCCTCGGCCGGTTTCTCCGTGGACTTCACCAAGCAGGGAACACCACAGAAGATTTGCGATGCCTGTCCATGACGAAGAAAAAACACACTATATGATGTAATAGGGATTCGGTTTACTATTTATATATGTTCCATGCCCTGACACCAATCGGAAAATAATGTAGAAGGCAGGCCTTCTTGACCATGCCATCCACAGCACACACGGAGCTGCAGATGCAGCAACATCCCGGATCCTGCAAAGCCAAGGAATTCCTATATGTAGGCAGTGTAGGTCCAGGTTATACCTTTCATACATACAGTGACACATATACCTACATACACATGCATACATACATGCACACACATGCATGCTTAGATACATGGTACATACGCACATATATACCTATATACATGCATATACAGACATGCATATACATACATGTATACATACAGACATCATAAACCCAGAAAGCTAAGCCGCTACAGCACACCCGATACATACTATAATATGATAGACTCAGACTCGCCACCCCTTAAAATTATTAGAACCACGATCTAGCAGTTACTCCACCAATACATTCAATATTTGTTATGAATACAAGCAGGATCCCTGTAACCCTCCAACAATAGATTGATTAGGGTCTTAGGGTTGGTGAGTAGCAAATAAACTGGGATCCTCCTGCATCGACTCGTCTGCCACGGTGTTGGTGAGGTCTTGGGAGTGTCCTGGAAGGCGAGGGATTGTGTTTATGTTGTACATAGTGGCTACATTTGATATATCTGTCCTTTGTCGAGGGTCAGCTCTTCCATGTAGTGCTGCAGACTGATTGTCGTCCGTGTATCAGAGTGCTTTGGTTTGTTGTTGACCGAGGAGGCTGTAAAGCTAGGAAGGCTTGGAACTTCGCTCGGTGTCGAGGAGAGAGAGGAGGCACTACGATACCTTTTGGCATCTGGTGACTTCAGAGGGGTGCTGCTGGTGGACATCGGGCTGTGTTGCTTCAGTGTCGGGGCTGGCGGGGTCGCGATCTGCGAGGGCTTCGGGGGAGGAGTCACGGCACGTGCCGGTGTTGCCTGGGGGCGTGCATTGGGCACGGGAGCCCCCTTTGCTTTCCCAAAGTGCTGCTTTGCATGGTCAACCAAAGCCTGCACCCTTGCAGACACCGGTGCCGGTGCCGAGTCGCCACGTTTTCCCATGCGAGATCAGGGGATCCCTCGAACAAGCTATGCGAAACAAATCTCGAATCAAATGTCTTGAACAATGCAGCAACCAAGGACTCGTGGATGTGGCCTTTCCGGGCCTTGTCGGATGATGGTACAATAGTGAATGTAGCTTTGGTTTAGGGGGGTCGTAGGTTAGGGTTGGGTGCTGTCTATGTTGCTACATGTAGGATATGGATTTCACGCGTTTTCACGCTCTTTCACGGGAGACCTGTGTGAGGATGGTTTCCTGTGTTATTTTTCACGCAGTTTCACGCTTTTCACGGTCAGTCCTGGGATCACATCTTTGGGTTCTAATGATGATACAATACCAGCCTATAAAAACCCCATTTCTAATCCCCCTGGTTTCCTCCAATAGCATTATACTATTCTAGATCCGACCGGAAACAAGGTGGCCCCTCGTTATATCACAGTTACCAGTAGCTAGATGTGTATTTACAAACCACATGCGTACATGTATGTTTGCCTCTACCCATAAAAGCCTAAACCTGCAGCCCCAACCCTGCTTGTCTTGGGAGACTTTGTGGAATGTGAATGTAAAAATGTTCATGCTTCAATTGTTTACTGTTTCATAATTTCATTCTACGATATTGCTTTGTGGATATCTGATCTAGCTATAGCCAGGCTTCTAATAAAAGGAGTGCTTCATCATCTCCAGACCTATGATCCCCATTTCAGAAGCCCAAAGCAACCTCAGGACAAACCCCAAGCAAAGCAAGCCCTTGTAAGCCCAGCGTGCATAAGACCCCAGAACAGGGTGCAAGGGTGGTCTACTTAGAGAGGTATATATATATATACATACAGATAGATATAGAGTAGGGTTTCAAGGCTTCGAAGAGCCACAGGTTTGGGATCCAGATTCTAGGGATTTAGGCTGTCGGTGTACTTATAGACTTATAAAGGGGTATATAGAGTGGGGTCTCAAGGATCTGCAGAGCCACAGGTTTGGGATCCAGGGTCTAGGGATGTAGGCTGTAGGTAAAGGGTTGTGCGGCTATTGAAATGTAATCTCAACACGGAAGCAATCCCAGGCTATTTCCACCGAGCGAACACCTGGAATCATCTTCTGCGGCTGCAGCTGCCGGTCCACTGATGCATCGGTGGAGCGATCCTGCTGTTCGTGGCTCGCCTAATAATGATATTCTTGCCCCCCAGTGCAGTCAATCCATCCCAGATCCGCCCTAGCTTGTTGCTGATTTTTTTTACAAAGGATTATTGTTCGACTACACAGCAAATCTTCAGGGCCCGTCTTACCATGACAATCGAAGACAACGATAGCTGGGGTAGGATGTGTTGATTGGAACGACATCATGTATAGGGTGCTCCAATTACAAGAGCAAGTGAGGGTGCATGATGTACGTAGGGTTGGAACCTGAAGCCCAGAGCCTTCGCCTTCACGTATATTATGTAGATGCCAGAGATACATATGGACACACCAGAGATCCCGAAGACTCAAATACTTCATGTTATTATGTTGGAGGCCGAGAATCATGTAGATACTACAAAAAGAGCTGACGAACAGCGGCTTATGTGGTTTAGGGTTTCAGGGCTCGGGCATCTGGGGTTTACAAGACCAAACCCATATATATATATATATATACACACTATATATTTATAATATATATATATATATAGGGACATATATAGGGGTTTAGGGTTTAGGGATTATATATTAGGATTTCACACAAGGAGTATAGGGTTTAGGGATTGGGTTTGTCGTTTTTGCCGGGATCGCAGGGCATGGGAAACTCGCCACAACAATGGTTGACGATGTGGCAAGAGCCACCTTTGATTCATCCGCACATAAAGTTCCGGTTTGAGGCTTCTGGGTCTGTACTGCCACCTACTGTACGAATTACTAGTAGTACTACGGTTGATGATATAAATCCTGCACTACCTCAAGGACCCTAAACTATGGGAATTATGGTATTTTCCTTATTATGGGTCATGCAGGATTTATATCATCAACCGTAGTACTACTCGATCTATAACTGGTACTAGTAGTATTGCTACTCATCACCATCTTCATCGGTCATGTTGCTCATATCAATCATCATCTACCATCGGAATGATGGCGACAGACAGTGCAGCGAAGTTCGATTTCATTCATCGGCAATCGTAGTCTGCATACCCACGACCACAGACCTGGCCTCTAGAGTATATGTTAATTTTACTTGGTATGTACCACATACTACAAGCGAGGACAAAGGCCGGCGTGGGATTGGAAAACCGGGGCCCTAGCTATACAGAACCTACCACACACCTGGCTCCTTCAGGAAAAGACCAGGCTCGCCCAGCCCAATCGTTGATGCGGCCAACCAAGCCTGCGAAGAGCAGGCTATGCAGTTCTAGTGCTTTGGGAAGAATGACCGAGTCATACATAGCACATGCAGGCGGTCGGGACTATCATTGTTTCAGGGAGCACCCGGACGATTTACAAGACACCCGAACGATTTACAAGACCCCTTCTCAAGCTTCCCAAAAAACTGAAGCAATCCCCAATAACCCAAAAATCATCTGGATTTTCTAGGTAAGCTGCTGCAACCGCTGGCCTCCAGAGCTGCTGTCTTCTTGTGCCACGGAGTTTCGGCAAGTGGATGGTTAGGGTTTAGGGCTTGGGGATGTGATGGGTGTTATGAGAGTTGTCACTATTCGACTTTCAGCAGCGGTTTTGGGGTCTAGGGTTGTGTAGGGCTTGCAGGGAGTTCGGCTTTAAAATGGGCAGAGCATGCTATGTGGGGCATTAAGGGTTCAGAACAGAACATGGTCCAGGGATCAGGCTTTCTTCGGACTAGACGAAACAGTCGTAGCTATAGTTAGAGAGTACCAGTACCAAACTCAGCGAAACAAACGGCATTAACAGTTGAGACCGATCGGGATTCGCTTTCGGGGCCTGGGATGTAGTTCTAGTTAATCCTTAGGCCTTAGGCATCAGGGCCTGCATTACATCATGATCAGAACATTTCCCAGGAACTTGCACAGCCAGTACATTAGGACGATCTCTCGCTCTCTCGCTCCCCTACATAACCTCTATATATATATATATATATATATTATTATAAGTTCTCCCTGTCTCTCTAGATCTGTCTATACTATATAATACACTATATAATATAATATATATATATATATATATATATGTACATATATATATATATATATATATATCACTCGAAGGAACCCAGAAGCATCTGATCCTCAGGGTTACAGCAGTCTGGTTTCATCGAAAGTACAACCCGGCTCGGATGACACATATAAGCAGTCCAATCGGCATTCATAGAAGCATCCTTTCGAGCTCCTCGTTAGCAATCGTCGCGACATAGTCGGCCGCCCTCTGCCTCGGAGAGAAGCAATGGGAAAGTTCATTTAACCACAATACGAACCCTGAGCCTTAACGGGTGGGCCTCCGGAGGCTAGAAAAGGGTCTAATTAGGCTAAGGTAGGGTTCCCAGACTTAGACAGATCCAGATTATTTTAATTGTACACTTCACACTGTGAGGCTGCCCTTGTGTCGGACTGCAGGGATCAGTATGTTAGTCAGTCAAGTAGCAGGATCGCGGGCACCCCCAATGGCAACAGCACAGCAGCAGCGGAGCCGGTCCAGGAAACTGGGTACACATGTGTATCCATGCTGAAGCAACTCGCAGACTTGAACCCAGGCACAGCCGCTAGCTGAAGATCAAAGCTGAGCCGCATGAATGCAAACAAGAGGGAGTGCAGGTTACTGGGGCATCACCAGCCATACTGCAAACACGTGCTGGGACTTGCTGTAAGTTGTTTTAATCTGGCGACATAGCTCGACCTCGTCAGATCTGGTTCCCCGTTCTGGTCTCGCCACAAGTAGAAGTAGCTTCCTTGAAATTTCTTGTCATCCTAATCAGATCGCACACACTGCCCCCTTTCTTTAAAAGGCAGCAGCAACTCGATCGGGCCACCCCAGAGAAGGCTTCCTAATGGATACTGTTTATGGTTTCTTGTATGCCTACACAGGCCCCCTGTAAATCAAATCTTCAGATTTACACCGCACACTCAGCCAACAGAGGGTGCAAGCTTGGAGATCAGCCTCACGAGGCCGTCGAAATCATCAGCATCGATGCTGTTGGTCGGCTGTTTGCACACCGTTGGCTCGTCTGTCTCGGCGCTTTCCCGGGGCTTGCTGTCGCTTGCCTTGTCTGCATCGGTGGTCTCATCGGGCTTGCTGTCGCTTGGCTTGTCTGCATCGGCGGTCTCATCGGGCTTGCTGTTGCTTGCCTTGTCTGCTTCTTCCTTGGATGTTCCCTTTTTTTTACCCTTGCCCTTCGCCTTCGCCTTCGCTTTGCCTCAGATGCGGTACATGATGAAAAGTTTGCGCAGTGTTTCTTTTACAAACAAGCTTCTAGATGCTGAGTAGCTGCCTTCTGCCCTGGCCAACAGCTTAGCCGCCTTGTCCTCTCTAGCCTTCTGCTTTAGCTTCTGCTGTTGCTGAAGAACTTCGAGGGCTGGATCAGCACACTCCATTCCTTCGAGCTGGGCCTGCAAAGCTCTCTGCGGTGCCGGCGCTGCATCCCGGTCGAGCAGCTTCTGCTCCTCCTGATCAGATCAGTCATGAACTATTGCATACACATATACGACATGTGTACATACTCGGCACATCGCAGAGCTTTAGGCCGAGAGTTGCTGGCCTTTCTAATTAGTCTTTAAGTACCTATTTCAGGGGTTTCTGATATATGGGCGACATGGGGTTGAGGTTTCTAGGCGTAGTTTGCCGGTGTACCTTTCGCCTCATTTGTACATAGCTAGACATGTGCTCCTAATCCCATCGACCCATGAACGTGGAACAAAGCCTCAAAACACCAAACCTGAAACACCCGAACCTAAAAGCCTGAAAAATCCTGCCGGCAAAAAGCCTTCCAGCAAGGATCCCGAATAATATGTGGACGATGTCTAGGAACCTATGGTAAATTTCATTAGAGATACATTTACCATAGTTTTCTTTTCAGGAGATGTATATTCCCTGCGAAACACATCGGAGGTCGCAGATCCTTCGCCGGCTCCGGCGATGCTGGCTCGGGTGGTGGCACCTGCGAATCCTGGAAAGATGCATTGGTATATTCTGCATCTATCCGTCTCTATATATTTATATGTATGTATCTATCTATTGCATCCATTGAAATATAGAAACGTGCTCCCATATATGAAATTGAACTATACCTCTATATATGAAGATTCATACTAGTATGAATCTTCATATATAGAGGTATAGTTCAATTTCATATATGGGAGCACGTGTACTGTGGGTTTAGGGTTAGGGCCTTTAGGGGTCTCAGATAGAAGGTAGGGTTACAGCTTTTGGTTTAGGGTTTGGGGTTCTGGGCATGAGGGTCTGGGGTAACGGCTTGGGTTTCAGGGTTTGGAGTCTTGAGTATATAGGAATTCTAATCTAGGAAATCCTTGGTGGTCTGTGGAACCTCTTTCTACTCAAATCCAACTATGATTCGGTTTTCAGTTTTGGCTTCCTGGGTTTGATATTCAAAGCCTGGGAACAATACTATGACACAGAAGATTCCAACGGCACACCCCAAAACCCCAAATTCCAAAACCAGACAGCCCTAACCTTTGGCCCCAAACCTTTACCCTTGAACACAACCACCTGAAGCCCCAAGCTCCAAAAACCCAAATCCTAAACCCCAAGCCGTCCAAGGTGCAACCTCTGAATCCCAAACCAAAACTACCAGTGCCCGAGCAGACTTCGAGCCGTAATTTCAAAATCCCTCTAAGCCCCAAGCCGCACAGCACTAAGCCCCAAACCCCAACAGTCCAACACCGAACACCCTAAACCCGAACACCCCAAGCCATAGCCTGTTAGACTTAAACCAAACAACCCAAAATCATGAGCCCGACAACAAAACCCACAAACCCCAAACCCTTCACCTTAGGCCCTGACCCGAAGCCCTTTATCAGATCAGTTAAACATAGCTCAACCAGGCTTCGAACCCACATCAATTCAAACCCCAGACACCAATCCGATCTATGGAGCAACAGCATTTTCCTGGGTGACACAACTATCTTAAAATGTAGTGTCCCCTATATTTATATATACACATACCCCTAGCTAGTTTGTAACTTACCCTAAGATCCGGTCTCGCCGTCCTCCATTGAAACTTTCGGCATGCCCGGCGATGGAACTTCTGAGTCCTGACAATATAGGCCATGAGTTCGGGAATGGAGTGCAAAGCTAAAGCTCATGGTTGGGCTAGCGAAACTCTAGGAAACTTCAGAGTAGAGACCCGGCTCTTAAATCTAAGCATTGACTAGCACCACAGTCCTCCACATGTGCCGCCTCGAGCCCCGGGTCATTCGTGTCGTCGGCGCTTTTGTCGGCCATCTGTGCGGGGAGAGCTCGTTTGATTGGATCCGAATTTAAAGTTTCAGGCTATAGCAAATAAGGTTTGCAGGTATGAAGTATGTGTATTCGTAGTCAACATAAAAATTGCCGAAGCCTCCCAGCCCCGAGATCCCAACCCCGAAACCCTAGGCCAAAATACATCCCAGGTTAAGCCGCCCGCCTCTGCATCTTCCTCTGTCTCCTCGGTTGCCTCGCCGCCGCCGCCGGCCGACACCTTGAGCAATTAAGGGGAGGCTCTGGGGTCGCTCCGTACACATTGACGAAGGCTCCTAACTTATTGAATCTGGTCACTCCATCTTCCTCCGGCTCCTCGTCGATGCTTTCGGCTGTAAAGCCAGGCACCTCACCGAGGTCATTAGGGTTCGTGGTTGCTTGAACCGGTACTGATATTGACATGATTAATACTTGGCGAGTTACATGCACAGCTTCTCCGAGCTCTGCTTCACTGCCCCCAGTGGGGCCCACAGGCTCGCTAGTTGCAGCCCAGGCCTGAACCAAAACTGTATGGGTTTCTAAATGTATGATTCAGACCAAACTCTGAAAACTCGCCGACCTGGAAAGCCGGCAACCCAGCGATGAAGTTCTTGATGGCCTGCATCTCCTCGCTCCTGGTGCGGTGGTTCTATGCTTCTTCTGAATATATGTGGGGCTGGGTTTGTTGGGAAAATACCGGTGAGCAAATCTCCTCGCAATCGTGGTACGTTTCGTCATTCGAGCACACAATGCAAGCATCGCTCTCAAGCGACCTCCCTGCAGCCCTGCCCAATCCTTGGCTTGCTGTTTAATCTTACTAAAATCAGAATCCGCATTCTTCAGCAAGTGAACACAACATGTACAATCACACAGAAGTCTACACGAAAGCTGATCTTGACGGGATTCTTGAACATCCTTCTTCAGGACCTTCCTTGCCTGGCCTCCATGCACTGACACTGCCTTCGGCGTGCCAACCACCAAGAGGCCCCGCTCGCTGTTGATCTTCAGGAAGCCGTCCTAAGGTAAGCTCGGAAGGCTTCTGGTGTTTCGGTGAGTGTGTGGCTTGGTGTAGCTTATGTGCAGTGAGGGTTCTTTAAACACCCCGGCCGAAGGAAAGTCCAGCTCGAGTCTCGCAAGCATCGAGATGACAATTTCAAAGTTCTGGATGACCTGGGCGGTACATGACAGTCACTGCCATGTAAAATGCCTAACTACAGATACACCGATATTTTGCAGACTGGTTGCATCCCGTTCGAACACTCCCCCTGCCATGATGGAGGCCTTCGTCAGCGGGATCAACACCTTGTCCTGCGAGCAGATCAAGAGAACAAAAAGGGGGCCTGGATTCGGACTTGTGGACTTTGGGCCTCGTCTTCCCGTATGGCATCCCAGTCGTAGGGCTCCATAATCTCTTTCAAAACTTCGAACACAGCATCCACCTTGGCCTGCCGGGCCGGGGGTGCCTTAGAATTGCAAGTCATGTAAGGTTTCTGGGAATCGGGAACAGACTTAGTTGAAGCGGGGCTCCCCATCAACCTTGGGTGCTTCTGCCGTGGCAGCCCTACACCCTACACTGAAAAAAGGCCCTTTGCACTGATCTGCTCTCGGACCCAAAACTCTGTAGGGCACAGCTTGTGTGCACTGCATCAGCATGCTAAGATCGAATGCAATCGTGGCAGCACTGGCATGCTAACACATCTGCAAAACCGGCGGTGCACGGGCGGTGGCACCATCAGGTCTCACACTCGAAGGGGCAGATGCCCGAACACGGTCTCTGCCCATTGCCAGAGCTCGCTTCATCTTCGGCTAATTCTATATTTAGTAACCTGCCTATTCCTGCTATATAGCTACCTAGCGAATGCACAGCTACCTCACAAGACTGCGCAGGTGCTTCACATTATGATCAGGTGGGGTCGCTATATATTTAGGCGGTCGCCAGATTCAGCCTTCTATTCCTAAAGGGCAGTATATTACTCTCTAGCAACGAATCGAGGCTTCGGGTTGGAGGCTTGGGGCTTACAGTTTAAGGCTTGGCAGGCCTGCAGGCTGTTTTAAAAGGGGCCTGGTAATATGGTGGGGCTCCTTTACTAAAAGCTTCGTGGCAGTGGTGTGCAATGCATGCTTCGCCGAATTCCCGCCAGCAACCTCAAGCCCGAAATAACAAAAGCCACCCGTGCTAACTCGAAACCATAGCCTCGACTCAACAAACCAGAAGTGTAGCATCGTTCAATTTCGCAAAAACCCCTGGCCCAATTCACTGATCATCCGATTCCCTGCCAAAGTCCATTATATGATATAATTGTATACATATATACCCACACTATATATGATAATACGTTTTCCGGAGCAATTCGGTAGCGTGAAATGAAGATTTTCATTTGCCGCTACCGAATTTCGACGTCCTGGGCAAATGTAGGGTTCGGGATTAGGGTTTTCCATCAGCAGCGCACAGAAAGTATTGTCAAACTGCACACATGATCACTCTACATGTGATTTCTCGAGCGAATTGTGCATATGCACCTGCACCATTGCTTGTAAATCAGCTTATTCGGCAACAGACTTGTCGAACTTTGTGAATTTTTAACTACAAGGAACTGAACTTCAAGCTCAGCCTCGAGCTCGACATGTCGGTTAAACAGCCCTATACATTTTTGTATACTTTCATTTTACATCGTTTCTTGGGCATCCGATGTTGCCGAGTACTCATTATTCTAAGGACTCGGTCCCTAACTCCCCAAAGACCAGGACTTTCAAGCGAGACCATGTATAACAAGGTCTTGCGATCCCCAGGGGAAGAGAGGGGAAGGGGAAGGAGCCCTGTGGTTCCCTGTGCGGGTTATCCTTCCCCACCCCGCCCCTGTGGTTCGTTGTCTTGTGATTCCATGGTTGTGGGTTATGGATTGGGGGGGGAGGTACGCGGATGACGTGGGACTGTTTGATGGGACGAAAAGCCTGGCTGGGGGGGGGGGGGGGGGCATACCATGGGGGTGGGGGGGGGGGGCCTGCGACGCGGCGACGCGGCACCATATATACAGTCCAAATCCCGAATCCCTGAACGAATCGCCCCCTGGACACTAAACCTCTGGGTGTTAAACTCGAAGCCCCAAATATGTTAACCCAAAGTTCCAAAACCAACAGTTCGGAATTCACAACGGACCCACCTTCAAGTCCTGAAACATCCAAGACTAACCCGGGCGACTCCTGTTGTCCAAAGGGCATTACCGTCAGTAGTGTGTCTGACAAGCCCAAACTTGACTTTGGGTTTATAGGTTTGAGGTTGGGTACTGCCCCCACTCAGTAACAGTTGGACAATATTCGTAATATAGTTATACTAGGCCCTCTATAGTAGGCCTAAAAGGACTGTTACTGCATGGGGGCCGTTCCTAAGGTTGAGGCATTGAGGTACCGAAACTGTAAAACTCCGAACCCTCTTAGTTTAAAGCCTGAGGCCTTTCAAAAAAAATGAAAACAAATTTAATTTCTAGCTTAATAATAAGAGCCCTGTAGAAGACCCGTAGCACGCTACAAGGCCCAAAACCCTGTCAATAATTCTGTAATGCCCCACAAATGACGCGAAAGGATGGTATGAGGCCCCAAGATGAACATGCTGGGCGCAAAAACCTAAAACTGGGCTTTGGAGTACCATACTTTAATACTTTTTTTCTTAAAGGAACCCTTGTGAAATAAAAGTTTATACTTTTTTCTCCCTGGTTACTTAAAAGCCCAGAAAACCCTGAAGCCCCAAACCCGAGACCCGGAGCCCCAAAGCCGAAGCCCCCAAAAGCCTCAAACCCTGAAGCTCTGAACTTCTAAAGCCTAGGGGGGATTGTAATGTAGGATCCTGATTAAGGAACCCTGGGCCTATAACACCAAAATGGTAGGATTCAAATAAGGGGTTCTTAATCCGGTTCCTACATTACAAACAAAACGGTGGCAGCAGCCAGGTCCGTCCTGGAATTCTCCGAGCCGCGGGGCCCAGAAGACGGTTTAGGGCTAGGGTTTGGAGTTTATCTGGACACCCCCTATAATGCCCTTTAATAGAGTTCTTTCTTTTGGGCATGTTAGAGGGGAGTTGGGGGTCGAGGAGGCAATTTAGGGTTTAAGGTTTGCGGCTTGTGGTGGAGTAGCGAATAGGCGACAGTATCTTGCAACCCAGAGACTCCAATATCCCTTAATTAAGGTATATACCTTAAATTATATTAGGGATCCTACTATAATTTAAGGTATATTCCTTAATTAAGGGATATTGGAGTCTGGGGGAAGAAGGCTGTGCCAAGTGAATCGTACCATGGCGATGAGCCGTCTGTAGAAGGCTTTTCCTGGCACCCCCCACCCGCACCAGATGGGCGGCCTATGCCTTAGGGTTCAGGTTTTGGGGGGGTTCTGTGCTTGGTGCTTAGGGTTTGGGTCTGGGGGGTGTAAATTAAGGTTCTAAGCCGATGGTCTTGTTTTAAGTGGGTCGTATACAGTAGAAGCCCAAAAGTTGGAATCCCCGGAGCCCCGATCCTTAAGAGTAATGTATAGTGAGACCCAGCACTATTTGGCCTTAATCCGGTTTCCAACTTTATGGGGTTTACTATAATTAGCTACCCTAAGGCTCTATAGTAGCTCCATTTTGGGGGTTCATATTTAGTCCCCAATCTCGGAGCCCTAGACCCCGACAGTAATTAAGGGGTTTACTGTAGGGTTTAGAATGGTGGCGATACGGGGGCTGATTGGGCTGAAGCGCACAAGTACACAAATAGAAGCATGAATAACTACTAAAGTTGGAATTTGGATTACTGGTAAGATCCCCTATAATTTACCTTAAAGGGGTTACGATAATGATATTCCAACTTTCTTGCTTTTTCTGTAATACTGTTGATGCTATACATCCTGCACTACCTAAGGACCCTAAACTATGGGAATTATGGTAGATTCCTTATTATGGGTAATGCAAGATTTATATCATCAACCGTATGGCTCCGTAAAGCTCCTTAACATGGCTCTGATATACCCGAGAATCCTATGGGTGGTTGTCAAAATTAGGGTCCCTTTCCCCATTAGGCTACCCCAAAAAGGGGACCGTGATTTCCAAAAATCCCTAAACCCTAAACCCTAAATAAGACCTCGATCCTTGTATTATCTGGCCTCGGAGGTTCAAATAATTGCGGGTGTCTGGGCGGAGTTTCATTAGGTTCGCCTTTGGATCTCAGTACAGGTGTATAGGTTTCTTCAAACTTTGGCTTGGGTTGCTTTGGATTTTCGCCTCTGAGGTTTAAGGCGCGAAAGCTTAGAGTTTTTGGTTAAGGGCTTCGGGTTTCAAGATTAATTAGTGTTCTGATCAGAGAGGGGAGGAGTTCAGGATTGTGTTAGGCTTGCTGACTCTTTTGGTCATGAAGGCTTCTTCGGGCGTAAGTGTTGAGCTTCATGTGCTTTTGCGGGAGACTTGGAACTTGCTTTTGAGGCTAAGGGGTTGTCCACGGCTCAGATGTTTTCCTTTGGTGTGGGGGCTTAGGGCTTAGCAGAAGGTTGAGGATTGGCGGCGGCATGAAACGTGGTTTAGGCCCGGTTTAGGTTGCTCTGTGACACGGGCTTCGGGTTTAGACAAACTCATACCGTGAGATCCGCTGTTTCAGGTCTTGTGGTTCAGACTGAAGACCGTTCAGGTTGAAATCCATTTTCAAGCCCTATAACTTACAACCCCTATGCTCTTTAATCCGAGTTTAGTTTATGAAGGTCCCTGGATGAGGTTGAAATTAAAGGTGTGAGGTTCGATGTTAGGCGTTGTCTTTTTCGGTTTACGGTTGGGTCCGAGTGCTACAGGGTACTGACGCAGTAGTAGAGACGCCGGGATCATAATATCTTAATCATTAACCCCAAGGGTCCAAGTACCTGATAATTATATACTCTCCAAAGTCCTAACCTACATGACTTCTGTCTTAAAACCGAGTACATGATTATTGGGTCCTTTGGACCCTTGGGGTAAGGCCCGTATATGGTTCACACCTTGACCTACCTGCCTTTTACTGGCCGCTATGTCTGGCCGTAGAGACTTTTCTGGACACGCCTGCCTACGGCTGATGATAAAAATCCTGCATGACCTTAAGGACCCGAAGCTATGGGAATTATGGTATATTCCTTTGTATGGGTCATGCAGGATTTATATCATCCACCGTATCTTATATGAAACCAGGCAGGGCTTTTGCAATTCAACTCCGGCCTTTTTCGCCAGTGTTCAGATCCCTCAACCAGGATCGTAGGTTCTAATGTAGGATTTAGGGTTTGGGATCCGAGGTATTTCTGATGTTAATTATAGTTGTTGCACAGTAGAACATGTTGCGACTGCCAGCAACTGTTGCTTCAAGCGTCTACCCGGTGTCTTATAGCGTGTCTGCACTGTGAAGGTGGATTTGTTGCAGAAGTT